ACTCAAAACAGCAGAATACATATTCTTTTAAAGTGCTCAAAGAACAAATGTCAAGATAGATTACACATCCTGGGTTATAAAACAAACATCAACAAAATTAAAAAAACTTAAATCACACAGAATGTATTTTCAGATCACACTGGAACTGAACAACAGAAAGGTAAAAGGAAACTCTCCAAACATTTATAAACCAAACAACACATTACTAAATAACCCATAGATCAAAGAGGAATTCTTAAGAGAAACAAAAGAACAAATTCAATGAAAATGAAAGTAGTGAATATCATCAAACTTGTGGACACAGCTAAGGTAGGGCTAACAAGGACATTTATAGCACTTAATGCTTTACATCAGAAAAGAGGAAAGTCTTAAATCAATAATCTAAGCTGCCACCTCAAGTACTTAGAAACAAAAAGAACAAAATAAACCCAGAGCAAGCAGAAGACAGAATATAATAAATATAAGAGCAGGTATCAATGAAGTTGAAAGTAGGAAAAATAAAGAAAAGTCAATGAACCAAAGAGCTGACTCTTTGAAAAGACCAACAAAATTTGCAACTCTCTTACAAGTGTGGTATAGAAAAAAAACAAATAGAGAAGACACAAATGATCAATTTCAGGAATTATACAGGGAATAATATCATTATAGATCCTGATGGGCATATACCACTTCCTCATATAACATAGGTTGCCACAACGTACCTAATGTGAAATAGATAGTTTGAATAGCCTTATAACTATTATGGGAGCTTTGGTAGTGTAGTGCCTAAGGCACTTGACTGCTAACCAGAAGGCTGGTGGTTCAAGCCCACCAGCCACTCCTCAGAAGGAAGATGGGGCAATCTACTTCCATAGTGATACTGCCTCGGCAACCCAAGGAGGGTCGCTATGAGTCCGGTCCAACTCAACAGCACATAACAACAATAACTTAACAATTATAGAAATTGTCATTTAAAAACTCCCCAAAGATGGAAGGAAATTTTCTTTGTTGGTTACCAGGGGCAGGAGGGGAGAGGAGGGAACACTGCAAAAATAAAAAAATAATAATAGTAATAAAAAACTCCCCAAAATTATCAGATGGTTTCATAATTCTACCAAATATTTAAGAAAGACTTAATACCTATTCTACATCATCTCTTCCACATATTACAAGTTTCATTTACCCTAATACCAAAACCAGACAAAGATCATATAGAAAACAAAAACTAAAGATCAAGAGCTCTCATGAATATAGACACAGAAATTCTTAACAAAGTATTAGCAAACAAAATTCAGTAATATATAAAAAGAATTATACACCAGGACCAGGTGGGGTTTATTCCAGGGTTGCAAGACTAGTTTATTATTTGAAAATCAATTGATATAATTATCATACTAATAGCATAAAGAAGAAAATTACATGATTGTATCAATGGATGTAGAAAAAGCATTTGACAAAAATTCATGACTAAAGCTCTCAGAAAAATAGGGATAGAGGGAGAACTTCCGCAACTTGATACAATAACATCACACTTAATAGTAAAAGACTGAATGCTTCCCTTGCTAAGACTGGGAAAAAGATATTTGCTCTTACCACTCTTATGAACATGTATTGAAAAGTTCTAGCCATCGAATAAGCCAAAAACAACAAAAAATACGAAACAAAGGACATATGAATTGGAAAGGAAGAAATAAAACTACTTCTATTTGCAGATGACATGATTAAGATCGTAGAAAATCCTGAGGAATCGACAAAATTAAGCAAGCTGAAGGATACAAGGTAAGCATATAAAAATCAAGTGTTTCTATATCCTAATAATGATCACATAGAAAACAAAATGAAAAATACAGTATCATTTACAATTGTGCAAAAAAATAAAAAAAGAAATGTTTAGATTTAAATCTAACCAAACATATTTAGATTTAAATCTAACCAAAAATGTTTAGATTTAAATCTAACCAACTTGGCTGCTGAATAAAAACTACACGATGCTGATGAAAGAAACTAAAGAAAATTTTAATTAAGTCAAGAGAAATGCCATATTCATGGGCTGGAAGACTCAATATAGTAAAGCTACAAGTTCTTCTTAAATTAATATATAGATTTAATACAAGTTCTATCAAAATTCTGGCAAAATCTTTGTAGATATAGACAAACATTTATATGGAAAGGCAAAGGTGCTTAAAACAATTTTGAAAAAGAATGAAGTGGGAAGAATCCATCTACCCAACATATTTATTATATAGCTAAACTTAGTAAGACTGTAGGGAGCTCTGGTAGCATAGTGCCTAAAGCACTTGACTGCTAACCAGAAGGCTGGCAGTTCAAACCCACCAGCCACTCCTCGGAAGGAAGGCTGGGCAACCTACTTCCGTAGTGATACCGCCTCGGAAACCCAAGGAGGGGTTGCTATGAGTCTTGTCCGACTCGACGGCACATAATAACAACAGTAAGACTGTGTGGTATTGGTGAAGGGACAGACACATGGATAAATGGAACAGAAGAGAACCCAGATATAGACCAACATAAGTATGTCCAAATTATTCTTAAGAAAGGTACAAAAGCAATTCAGTGAAGGAAAGACAGCCTTTTAACATATGGTACTAGAGTGAAATAGACATCCACAGGCAAAAAGAAAAAAAAAAAAAGGAATCTCAATTGAAGTTTCACATCTTATAGAAAAATTACTTAAAATGGATTATGGACTTAAAGGTGAATTGTAAAACTTTTTTTTTTTTTTTTTTTTAAAAAAAACCCAACTTTACAAATATTGTATTAGTCCGTT